AGATTCGGCATAGGTAAGTGGTAAGGCACTGCCCGCCAGGCGCTGCCATTTGCGGGCCTCTATACCCAGGTTCACCGGCACCAGCAGCAGCGCAAACAGCAGGTAGGGCCAGGTGTCTTCAGGCCACCAATGTTCCAGGTCTACATCGGCAAGCTGTGTCTTTAACTGGCGGTACAGGCTCCAGAACAGCAGGGCGGTAATGGCAATGCCCAGCCCGTAGTTCAGTGTTATTTTGGTAGTTTTGTTCAAAATATGCAATTGTCCGCGTCCGCTCCCCAGATCATTTTAGGTATTGATCCCGGTACCCTTGTTATGGGTTACGGGCTCATTGCGGTGCACAAAAGTAATATAACCCTCGTGGAGATGGGGGTATTACAGCTGGCGCGGAAAAATGACCATGCCGAGCGGCTGGAAATGATCTTTAAAAAGATAGAAAGCATCATCCGCCTGCACAAGCCTTCGGCCGTAGCTATTGAAGCCCCTTTCTTTGGCAAGAATGTGCAGAGTATGCTCAAGCTGGGCCGGGCGCAGGGTGTAGCCATCGCGGCATCGATGGTGCATGGCCTCCGGGCCACGGAATACGCGCCGCGTACCGTCAAACAATCGATCACCGGCCGTGGTAATGCCACCAAGGAGCAGGTATGGGAGATGCTGAAACACAGCCTGAAGCTGGAAGAAGAAAATCCGCGCTTTATGGATGCGGCAGATGCCGTTTCTGTAGCCTTATGTCACCATTACCATCAGCGTATCCCGGAGATTGCAGCCCTGGCTCCGGCAAAGAAAACGTCAAAAAAATCGGGCAATTGGGCTGCTTTTGCCGCATTGAACCCGGGAAGGGTTTCCTAATCACCGGTCGTTTCGTTCCAGATCACTTCCAGCTCCGATAGGATCATGGCGGTAGCCCCCCATATAATATCACCGCCGGGCAGGGAGTAAGCCGGCACCGTCAGCTTCATATCCGGGCGTGAGGATGGGCGAACCGTGGTAACGACTTTGTGCGCTTTATTAAACAGGTGCGCCACCGGTACTTCCAGCACTTCGGCCACTTCTTGTTCGCTCAGGTTATAAACAGGCGCGCTGGCCGCAAACCCGATATAGGGGTACACCAAAAATTTTGAAACCGGTATATAGAGTGAAGAGATCGGCGCCAGAATGGTTACGTCTCCCGACATAATGCCCACTTCTTCCTGGGCTTCGCGTAAAGCAGTCGCACTCAGGTCCGCATCAAACGGCTCCTGCCGTCCTCCGGGAAAAGATATCTGGCCACCATGTGCCTTACCATCCTCCGTTCTGCGAATAAACAATAAATGCAGCTCCTCATTTTTAGGAAATAAAAGTGCCAGTACTGCGCTGGACCGGGCGTCGTCCGGTATGCCGGGAGGCATCGGCAAAACCCTGCCTGTCATTAGTTCCTGTGCGGCAAGACCAGGCAATGGTGCTTTTAAACGTGTTGTCAATTGGGCAATCCGGGCACTATAATCCATCATTCCGAAATTAAAGAAAATAAACCATGACAAAGGTCTGACTATTATCAGGTATATAGATCGCCTACTTTTAAAAGAGCCATATAATACAACAGGGGCGTATGCACGCAGGTGTTATCTTTGTGCCTCTTGTTTTCACTTTTACCTGAATGAAAATATTTTTCTGCACCCCATTAAACTATTGACTAAAATAATGTCTTTAGAACATTAATTTTTGGTTGAGAGATAGAAGGTTTTTAATAAAAAAATTTTAAAGCTTGATGCTTCGTTTTATATGAAGATTGTTATATTTATTTGTTTTTTCATTTTAAATGTCAAATTTGCCCATGCACAACAGCCAGATACGTTACGACGTATGGATGCCAATAACTGGGAATTTATACAAGTACGTAATGGCAATGTCGTAGTCACCGAAGGCAACCGGCACAACCATATTGCGGAGGGCGTCTGGATCACATTCTGGGATAATGGTTATCCGCATTTTATGACCACTTATAAAGGCGGGGTGAAAGATGGAACTTGTATAGAGGTAAACCGGAACGGGATGACGGAGCTGGTAGAAAACTACCGGAATGGATTGCAGGAAGGTCCGCGCAGAGTGTATCAGCCGGGAGGCGGGCTGATCGAAGAAGCCTATTATTCAGCAGGCAGGAAAAACGGAACATTTGTAAAGCGCTATGCAAATGGACAAAAGCAGGAAGAAACCATTTATAATAACGACAAGCGCGATGGAAAGACAACCTGGTATTATGAAAGTGGCATCAAAGCTGCCGAGTATGATTACCGGAATGGAGAAATGGACGGCAATACAACCC